ATAGCTGCCATTCATTTTCTGTAAATCAACTAATCATTTCAGCTTTACTTGTATTTGTTGTTAGGCATGGTAGTTTAATTCATAATAAAGGATCCTATAAGCTCTTCATATGTTCTGTATGTAAAAAGTTGAGTAGAAGTGGCATTAGAAGGAACTACGCTGGGTATATAACAGTGAGTACTACAGTTAGTGTACTGCACTCTCTCCTACTGCAGGCTCTTACACTGCCTGTAATGCTGCGGTTCACCTGGAGAGTGAGGTATGATGCTGATAAGTTGTGTTTTTCTGTATTTTTGACAAATCTAAATGAGATCTCATCAGGATGAGTGTAATGCGTACTGGTCCGAAAAATGTATATACAGGCAGCGTAGCACGCTGTCCAGGAAATGATCCATGGGAAAATTAAATGGCAAACGATGAGAATGCGATATGAAAGTCAGAGAATATGAAGTGAAACTAAAAGGAAAAAACACTCAGACACTATTCAGTAAACATCAAGAATATTACTTAGAAGAAGAAAGGCACCCTGACTGTGGCTCTACAGCTCTGTCTTTTGTCTTTAGTTGAGTGCAATTTTATTTTCTTCTACCTCCATTTCTTTATTGTATCAAATGCATCTAATGCTCCTTGTAACAAGCTAAAACTCCCCAAACTGTCCATCGTGAGTTCGAAGATTGTAGAACACAAAACAGACACAGAAGATAGAGTGAGACCGGATGACCTGAATAACGCAAGCACTGTTCACTTTGCACAGAGAGGGTGAAAAACAGGGATTAATTGGCGCCCAGCAGTTTATTTTTGCTCCGAGGCCCCTAGCAGGTAAATCTGGCCATGGCTGCAGTGTGTCTGAATTTTGATTGATTGATTTAAGTGTCCTGTGCCGAGTGGCGCCCGGCCTGTATGGTCTTACAAGACAGCAGCAGCAACAACCAGTAAGATCACATGGCAAATTATTAAAAGAGAAAACATTTCAGAAGATCTCATTTACATAAGAGCGATGTCCTGTTGTGAAGGATACGAGGCCCTCGTCTGCCACACATCTTCTCACCAAAACAAAATTCTCCTCATTAAATAAGCGAGTCACTAAAAGATCTCTTGGCAACAAGCTAATGATGCAATAGTTGGCCAGAATATGTGCGGCCCAAAGTAATGAAACCAGCATCTTTTAGGGAATATGGGATCATTTCTGTGCTTTTGTTACAAGTTTTGCATCAGCTAATAAAATCCATTCATTATGTTTCTGCTCAAGTCTGATAACAGTCTATTTATATTTTCTCAATAACAGCAAACACACAAGGTTTGTCCATTCAGAATATTCAGTTTTGTTTCATATTTTCCTGTAATTTCCCATTTTAATTTTTTTGTACAAACTTTACATGTTGTCGCCTCAGTGTGTTCATCTGGTAGAGTTGTGCTCTTTCAGTGGGAAAAGAGTGTGGAAAAGAGAGGCGGACAATTTCAATAATTAAGATTTCTCACTAAAATAAGTCCTGGTTGGTTGATCAGATTCACGCCGATTTGAACACCGACTCACATCACAGTTTATTCACGGCCCATTATGTGTGTCAGTATCTTTTTTCGGCTGGTACCAAAGTAACTCCCAGTTTGCTGCTTCCTGTCTGGTGCTGGAGAGAGAGAGGCTGCCCGTGTCTGCTCTCACTGGCTGTAGCTCATAATGCTTAATCCACAATGCTCATAATGTTACGGCTGATTGGAGTAGTTTCACTAAGTATTCTCAAACTTTCCCTCCATATCTGCGTGCACTGCATCAGTCAAGTGTTTGACTAACCTCTCAGTTGTTGCCTTGTTAGAGGGTGGGTGGGTGGAACTCATCCAGGTGCACCACTGTAGGTGGACTGATACTTTCCCGCTTTGATTACATGGACTTTCTGCATAACATGAGCACGCTGTCAAGAGCCTCGACTCCAGTGCAGCTCATAAAGCGCAGCTGAAAGTTTCTGTTTCCAGCGCTGGTGTCAGTGCACCCGCCCATCTACCTGTGACAGTAAGAGAAAATGGGATGACAAAACACAGCACGTTCTAAAATGTTGTACTGTTAAAAAGTTTGAACTATTGTAGCTGTGCATTCAATTATGCATGCCATTCATTATTCATGCGCACTCATAAATGCATTATTCAGTGTGCAAAAAGTCTGATGTTCATTCACACAATTATAGATTTAGTGGAACGCTGACATTTTACATAACAGTTCATGAATGGTTAGCCACCAATACTGGTGGCTCCCGGTAACCAATCATCAGCAACCATTTGGAAAATGACATGGTTTTCTCTTCCCTCAGCTGAACTCGTCTAACACAGCTCAACCACAGGCTCTGGTAATGAGCTAACATCCGTCCATTATTTACAGTCTTACGGGGCCAGGAAGTGGTGTCAGTAGCGTGACAGGAAGATGCCTCCCCTGGGGGCTTTAATCAATAGATTGGACAGCTCTCCCTCATCTTAGAGACCCTCAGGGCAAATCCAAGGTCAGTGAGAATGTATCTACTACCCAGTAAATCTGACAACAGACAAGTCCCATGGTGCCACGGTGACTAGATTAACTAGATGACTGACGTTCAAAAGTGCGTCACTGCAGGCTTGAATAAAGTCAGGGAAGGGTTTACACATGATGCAGGTGGAATGTAGCTGAAGCTGATCAGAGGGTTGTTTCATAAAGTCGGCTCAGGGAGGCGAGCTGTATAAAGCTTATGATCACGATGGTCTTATCTCTAAGCAAAGTCTAGACTTGAGTTCTTCTTAGACTTCCTGCTGGTTATATATTCATAGATGTATAGAAGAATAATGAGCCTTTTTATCTACAGACATTGTTGGTCGCCTTCCATGAAGTCTGCCATGTTGAACCACCATGTTTCTACAGTAGCCCAGAAGGGACAAACCAAACAC